GTAGGAAATTGGAAATTATTCTAATTCTACCTCTGTACTTGACATGCAGATCGATTCTAAATAATTAAGACTAGTTTTGTTTGAATCTCCTAGAAACGTACTCATTTGTTCTCATAAAACCACCGTTGCCATGCAAAGAAAATTGAAGCCTTATTTTAGTACAACTTCCCGTTCATCGACTGCTACAATCTTTCATTAGAAAAAAATGGCGGCTATACATTTTACCATAATAACATGCAAAGCTAACACGGCCCATAAAGTACAAGGAAAGCAATATTTTTGCAATATTTGTCCCTGTGCTAACGACATAGTTTATGCTAGGCTTGAAGATGTTATCTACAACTTTTCTGTCCGTTCTTAAGAGCATTGTTAAAGTCTTCGTGCGCTAAGAATTATGGTAAATGTACCAGTCGCCATCTTTTTCTTTCCGTGGAGAATTGCTCAAGAAAGGGCTTGCTGCAAAATCTTTACTACTGAAAGATCCGAAGAGTTTCCATAATGTACTGAAAAACGCTCCGTTGTTAGAGTTACAGAAGAACTTGATTTCATGTTATATTGAAAAACTTTTAAGTTTTTCTCAAGCAGCAGGAACATTCTCAATGTATTGGCAGGAATAATGGTGCGCATGCTCCAAGTCTCAATCAGTTAAACTCCTTACAGCCCGGGAAGCCTGGAAACCCCATTAGTCCCCATGCCCTCTGGTCAACTCTTGAGCGTGTAACTTTCTATGTTTTTATATACCTGATTCTTGTTGTTCGCGCTGAAAAAAACTGTCTCAGAAATTTAAATAAAGTTAATAATTTTACCGATGGAAACCTGAATGAACGTCTTTTTGTGTAGAACTAACTTGACGCAGTCAGTTCTTCGACTCGCAGAATCATGTATTCAACAAATGTATTTCACTGGAGAAACTTGTTGAAATGGCGTCGCCATGCCCGGCTGGCTTCAGCTGTGTCTCACGGTATGTTTTATTGTAAATTTCCTGTGATTAATTTAAACAGTGATCACGAATTAAATGCAGTTGACGCCCGAGAGCCTCTCCTGTATTTTTTTTTCTGCTTTACTGCTTTGGTATAGCTAATTCTTGCTACGAGTATTCTTCCAATACTGTTGTATTTTGGGGGAGAATATCAACGGTTTATTTGTGTTTTCCACTGGTGTGTTTCCATTTTCGTTCGCAGGACAAACTTCAGAACTTAGTAAAACTAATTCGACTAAAAATCTGAGCAAATTGTTCCATGACGCCATTTTGGATTTTGTAACTTCACCCTTGTGGCCCTGTCAACAAAACTAAGCGGTGGGCCATTTGAGTTTTGAGAGGGGGAGGGGGTTGAGTGATTTGTTACAGGCACGAATTTGTTTAAATCCTTACATGGGCTAGAATTTTTTTTTTCTGGAAACGTGTGATATTTTTTTTGTCGGTAACTCGCTTTTAATTTGGCTTTTTTTCGGCAGTGGTCGTGTACATAAATGTCTTTTTGGTACAAGTATGCTTGCAGGATATTTTTCAAAATAGTTTTCAAAATCACTCGCCCCTCCCTCAATAGTCAAATGGTCCACCCTAAAGAGCTATAGCAGGTTAATGTGACATAACAAAAATAGTCAAATAAGCGATATCTGCGTCCAGTTTTCTCCCTACACCATAATGTTTATTTTATTTTCGTTCAATAAATTTTACCGTTCAAAATCTGTTTTCAACAGTTAAGCTGCAAAACGTAAAATTTGTTCTCGTGTAGCTGACGTTTCACGCCATATGAGGCTTATGCAATAACAGGGGATCATTTGAGCCCAAAACATAGTTAAGAGAGGGGAATGGTTCTGAAAATCGACAAAGTTTTTTTGTTGTATGTTTTTGTTCCCTTTTTTGCCTTGACCGTGCACGAAACACAATAGTTGTTTACTCTATACTGAGGAACTAACCAATAGAAACGTTTTGGTTACGTAATTTATGTATAGTGTATGAGCGCAAAACAAAAGATTGTGCACGGTCGTGGACCTTCCAACATAAATCTTGGCATCTTTGTTTGCTCCTTTGATGCTTGCCGGGCTTCATGAGCAGTCCCCTCTATTAACTACGTCTGAAATAATCCGCGCTCTGAATATATTTAAGTGGTCTTAGTCCCATAGTATTGAATATTATGTTCGTTCATCGCTCAAGCGAGAAAACATTTTCTACGTGTTATACATATGCAGATTTGTAAGCGGTTTTCTGACAAACAGCAAATAATACAAACAAGCGATTCTTCGTTTTATGAAAAATTATCAGTTGAGTAATTAAGGCGCGACGAAAGTTTGAAGACCTGCAGGTTTCAACGTTCAACTTGTGTTGTTTTCACGGGCAACTTGTCGGCCTTTGATGTCATTGGCAGCAAAGCGCGGGAAATTGCAGGCGACGATATTGTTACCAGCGGAAACGAGGAAAGTTGCCCGTGGCAACATCGTAATTTTAAGTCCAAAACTTCGTGACCAAACTCAACTGATAATCGTAGTATCTGGGACACCAGGCAGTCAGTATCTCGCCTTTTTCATGACATCTTCTCGTGGAATCCAAGTCGTCTTCAGCGAACACAAAAACCACCGGTAAAGCTTGTCGCCTATCGATCTGACCGAACATGTAATTTTTTACACAAATCTTTGCAGACGATATAGACTTCCTGAATTCAGACAATTCAGTGAACAAAAGAGGGAACTTCCGCACTAAATTCTTGTGGGCAAACCGGACTAGAAAATGGAGGCGTCGAAACGTGCCTGCCTTTTTCATTGAACGTTTCTGGCTTGAAAACCTTCCGGACAAGCTGCAGCTTCACTGAGGAAAGCACCAACAGAGCGTGTAACAGTTTTCCATCTTTTTCAGCAAACGCTTTTGCATGAAATCCTTTTGATCAGTACAAGCTAGAAATTCAGTATTCTGCAACAAAGCATAAATAGAGCGTTTGACAGTTTCCCCTCCTTTTTCACAAAAAAGAAGATTTTTACGCCAAATCTAAGTACATGCAAACAGGCCGACATAAAAGATTCAATAAACAAAATTGCTTATGAAGTGTTTGACAGTTCGATCATGGCGCGCTTCTCTCAGGGAATTCCTTTTGAAAAAACCTCCTGCAGAGCGTTTGGCAGGACTTGAACGCTACATCAAGTAACGACAGGCATCAGACAAGAAAATCCCAAAATATTCGTTTCAAGGTGATGTGGTTCAGCGAGTTTGGCTAAAACTTACACGCAAAGGTCCTCACATCTTGCTCAGTAGGTTTTCAAAACCGTGACATCAATAACATAAGGAAAGCTGTTGAGAGCACAAAGGGTTAGAATTGTGATTTGTTCGTCAGCAGAAGCGAAACACAACGACTGCTTTTTCTTGGAATGAAGTTTCCATTTTTTACTTATATCAAAAACGAAGACTATTGTATGCTGCAGAAAATGACCATGGAAAAGTTTGAAAAATTTTAATCAGAGGTAAGCTTGTAAAAAAGGCACAGTTTTACGCTGGAACGTCTCAGACTTACTTGTCTTGGTTAAAAGAGAAAAAGAACTCCACTTCCAGCCAACAATTTGTAGTCTCTCCATAATTTCAGTCATTTCAAATCCGAATAATTTAATATAAACTGGTTTATTTGAAAACTGCCAAGCAATATTAACGTGAAATACAGCAAAGATTAGTCAGTTTAATTTAGTAGGAGTAAAAAACTATTAAACAGTCCTAGCAATAGAAATGGTTTGTGATAGTATTGTCTGTGAATTGTAGATTACTGAGTTCCTGTGATGCTTTTAAAATGTTACATTTTAAAGTGCAAAGGAAGGTCAATTCTACGTGTGCCCTTAGCAAGGGACGAAAGAGGAACATGTAATAGGTAGATTAGAATTTTGTTGATAAGCCTAATCGCTTGAATGAGTAATTTTCAAAGTTCATTTGAGTATCTACGCCACCAAATTTTATAAGGACACTATTGTGTATTTTTATTTCATCAAATAGCGGTGTTATCACGATTGTTTTGAATGAAGACTCTAAAATCCACCACCAACTCCGAGATGAATAATTTCATGATATAATGCCATTTTTAAACGGCTAATCTTCGTGGGCTTCAAACAAAACTCTTAAGGCATTTTTGAGGCGTTGATTGACGACACTTCATATGACGCTTGCAAGCTAACTACCACTGTTTGCTTTTATTCAAGCGTGGTGACTGAATCACTTAAAAATCGCTAAGCGTTTAGACAAACTGGTGTTTGACGCGCACGCTCACTGAGCGCAATATTGGCGGGTAAGTGGAGGCGCGTGGCGCGCTCTTGAGGCATGACGTAATGAAAGTGACAAGTTGAGCCACATTACCTAACAGCTTGGATTGCGAGGGTGACCAAACCGGACCGGCACAAGAGTGTCGATTTTCTAAAAGTTTGGATTTTTCCCGTCCGATTCTCTGGCCTTGGATTCTTCAAGAAAGGTAGGGGCATATCGAAACTTAAATCATTTGATCAGCACAAATTGCCTGATTCGTATATTGACACTGAAGGCTTGTGAGAAAAATAGAGAGACCCCTGGAATTCAACGAAGCGAAACGCAGATCGTCTCGCAGAGAATAGAACCCTAATCCAAGCCTTCAGAAAATCAGGTAGTTTTTGCTGTCTCTATTTTACCGCCGGGTTTTTCACTTTGATGTTCCTTGTATTAAACAGTCATAGTTTCCATTTCGTAAAAATCAATCTACGGAAACATCCATGCCAAGCCAAGCCTGAAAAAGGGTTTGATCATTCTTATTTTACATAGGATATATTTGTTTTCGAGACGGACGGGAGAAGAAATGAAAAACGGTTTAAATTATCTAACGATGTCGTTTAAACCGAGCAAAAGGTTGTTTCTTGTGTCGCGTACTCCTTTACCCTTGATTTTCACTTGGATATAAATGATTGTTTAAAGAAGTACCTGTTTGCTCGTACAAACATGATTAGGCAATAAGAAATCATAGCGGTGATTTTAACCCAATATTTTGACTGAGTTAATTGTTTTCATTCCTTGTTAGAAAGACCAAAAGAGCCACTAAACTGATGTAGCGAATATTTCCTACACGTTCAGCTACTCGCGTTCAATGTGAACTTGCTGTTTGCTCAGAAGTCACTGAACCCGCATGACCCGAAAGACCAGTGTCAATTTGATCATGTTTTTAGCCTGTCAAATTAACTGAAGTGTACAACTAAGCGCCAAATGGATCAGTGATTTTGGAGAATATTTCGGTTATTCACGGTCGATACGGGGCGTGATTAGTATCCTCTGAAGTGCCGAGAAAAACTCCAAGCGCGCGAAGAACGCGCCAGAGGAAATTTCGCTATCGCGCGTGTTTTTACCCCCCTTTTCTTCAATGATCCTTGAAAAGAGAGTCTTGCTGGGATTAACCATAATAAGGCCCTCCTTCGTTTACAAACTGCAGTGGGATTTTCCGTCGTAAGATGTCTTGAACAAGTTTGTTCTTGTTCGAAATTTACGATATCAACTGCGCGAACTAAAGTGTTCTTGCCATGCGCTTTCTATGGTTTATTAGGATTTCTCATGCTTGTCATCGAAATTCAGTCTGTGGTAGCTTACATATCGGTATTTCTTTTATTTTTAATAGAAAAAAAGTGCACCAGTATTTTTAGCTCAATCAGCTACAGATTTACCATGGTAGGCAAAGAAAGTTGATTTTTCACAAGAACGTTTTCTGAGTTGCTCTCGAAGTCTTTGTCTCGTTATAAGGATAATGTTCTCAGTGGTCTTCAGTGTCCGACCTAACCAAGCGATAATGAGAGGTGTTTTTTTTCAACACCAAATTATATTATTCGGTGATAACTGTTTGTTTCCTTTACTCTTTTACCCTGCTCTAAAATTGTCAACCTCTAACATTTCTTAGGCTACCAACCTGATGGTTTTAGCTTGGCATGATTAGATAGGAACAGAAATTGGGGCAAATTATTGATATTCGAAATAAAAATAGGACTCGAGCATTATATCTTATTGTTACTTAATTTTGTGGGAACTTAATTTCACGTTAGAACGGGTATATTTGGCGGGATTTAAATTTCGCGATTTGCACCCCCCGGCGCCAAAAAACAAAAAACAAAATGCGTTAACTGAAAGGAACTAATTGTCGCAAAATTGTCAAACCATTGATCTTCATTTAAAAAAATTATGTAGTTTCAGAATTGGCACGATATTTTCCGTAGCGATGGTTTCCCATGACACTGGGCAAATTCAGATAAGAAAACTACCCAAGCAATTCCTATACTTTCTCCCATCCGTTTGGCAACATATAGTTTTACCTCACTGCTAGTCAAGTTGTTGTAAAGGCTTACCATCTACGTTGATTAAAGAATTGCAAAGCCAGGTATTAAATTAGCCTGCTTAATTTCGCAAAAACGTTTTTTCGCGGGTCTTTAATAAGGTCTTAAATTAAAGACTTTCATTAAGTGTCGCGAAAATAAGTAATAATAACGGTACATTAGTATCGCTGAAGGGCTACCCAGATTTATAACTCTACAAATATAATACAACTATAAACAAATTTAGCGATTAAACAAAATAAATTCACAGATACTTTTGTGATATTTTTTCATGACAATAAATGCAATTATGAAAATTCTGTTTTGATCTCGGGACGTACTGAAGTGTTTTTAGGTCCTGGATCATATGTTCCTAACACTTGTTTTCATCACAGTGAATTGTTTGTTTATAGTTTCAGATTTCAGGTCATTTCAGAAAACACTGGGCTCTTTACAGTTTATGCACCCAAGCAAAACATGAAGAGCTAATCAAAGTAAATTCCAAATTTTCGGGTTATAAATTTCAGTCAATGAGTCCGAATTATACGTACTGAGCTCATACACGAGCGAAAGGTGTACATTTTTATCTTTAAATGTTGCGATAAAAGACTAGCTATGTATTTCTCTAGCTTGTCAGCTCGTTGAGAGAGACATTTTGAAGGCACTGAACAAAAAGAACATAGGTTTTCAGCCTCTAATTCATCAAAGGACTCTTTCAAGTGGAAAAGTGACAAGCAATTGTCGTTCCATGAGAAATTTAAATTATTTATTGGAGAAAAAGTAAGCAATGAAACGAGTACAGCGAGGGCCTTAACATGGTTTGTAAATATAATAAATTTGCCTCATGAAAACCGTCTGAAGCTGTGTGGACCGTTTTGCGTGAAAAAAAAAAAAAAAAGCATTCACTAAAAAAGTCAAACTTCTTGAAAACACTCTTGCGACACATTTAAACGTTTTAAGTTGGTGTTGTAAGACTTTTTAATGCGGACAATCGAGGCATTTTAAACCAAATGTTTAGTGCTACTTTTAAGTTCCCCTAAAACTTAAATAACTCAACACGTCAATTTTGTTGCATGGTGTAAATACAAGAATAAAATAGCGCGGTTTTTCGTGGAATTGGTAGTGGAAAGTTCTTGATATTTAGTTGTATGCCGTTCTCATTCTGATGCGGAATAATCGACCCAAATTCGTACAGATCTCTTTTCGATCGTTGTTGTCTTCTCTCAGTTTTATTAGTTGAAAGGATTACTTAGATGATAAACGAAGGAAGCGTTAACGAAGATCACACTCTAATTTCCGGGAATAGAAGGGGGCGGTTATGATGTCAGCCCTTCCCAGGGTATGAGTGCAGGTACCAGTTAGTCGCCATGATAGGGTAACTTAACCAGAAAATCTCTGATCACTCATCTTGTTTTCGCACGTCTGTATTTTTATTTTCAGGCTATGAAGGCTGCAACAGGCCTGCTCAGGCTGACTTTAGGCCTCGCTTTGTTTGTATTAGCGGTAAGTGTGTGTAGTTCTTTCTATTTCTTGATCAAAGTAATACCTGTGTCAGCGTTTAGCTTGCTTCGTTTATTATAAGCTCGGCGACTGGAACCGCGGAAATTCTAACAAGGACGTGAAAGCTATGAAGGTCCCAGTCAATCTAAACAGCCTTATTGGATATTCCGTTCTGAGTGGCAGTATAGGCAATGTGTATTCTAGAACTCATTTTCTCCTCTAGTTTGTTAAACCTCAAAGGTAATACTCTATTTTACCGTTTCCATGTATAATTTTTATAACCATCCTAGAAAGAATAATTTCAAATCAGAGCTTCTTTTTCTGTTGAAGTGTTTAGATCCGAAATTCGCATTACCTGACAACCTTATCTTTAGAGACTGAATGATTAGCAGAATCAATAAGTCAATCATGCACCGTTGAAGGCTAATTCAGTAAAAAACGTTGAATCTTATTCAAACAATTAGTCATATTAGTTAGTCGTATTAGCCTCACAATGTGCGCCGGGAAATCTGCACCTTCTTTCATATCCCACTAAAAATTAGAATGAAAATAACTCACGACCGACACATGGAGAACATGCAACAAATTGGGAACCTTCAAACAACTTAATTTGAAGTGATACTGCTTCTTGATGTCAGGATCTCAAACTGATATCAATGCATTTATTCCTGCCATCCGTCCGCACGTTTATTCTCTTTTGGCCGCGCGTATATTTCCCGCGTCTTCGCTTTCAAAAGCATGCAGGCAATCTGAGAAGCAAAAAGGCTATTGCAACTGTCATTTACACACGTATTCTGTACAAAAACCGTTGATTAAGTGAAGCTGACTAAAACGTCATTGATAACCAGTAATAAATACTAAAGCTCTGCAAGTCTGTTTGTGGAGAAGTGTTAACAAAATGTTCCCTAGTCTGATGTCATTCGCCTTACTTCTCAGTTGACAGACGTCCTTATCCAGAGCAAGGCGAACCAGACATTCCGTTAGGGTTTTAGATGGCTCCTTTTATAGCTTTGAGTATTTTTTTAGGGAAAGGGGCTCTATTGTTCGTAAGACAATGATGAGAAATCAACTACGCGTAGGCAGATCACCGAGAGAGAAATTCAAAATTCTTCGGGGGCGATAAGTGTTACAAACCCAGCTTTGGGTGGGAGGGTTGGGAAAGGATTGTTGCAGCTTGCACACGTCAAAAGGGACCAGGGTGGGGGAGCTTGTAACAAGAAGAGCGAGGTCTAGACAGTAAACCAGCGAACACAAACGCTTGTTAGGTTCAATTAGATGACTTTGAATGGTTCATTGCGTTGAAAAATCCTAACCATCACAATAGACCTTTTTCATAAATGGCTGCCAATGATAAATTATTTTGTAAGTATTAAAATAACCTCGTTTTTGAGTAAATAATTCAAAAGAATTTTTACTCCCAAACGAGTTTATTGAGGCTAATTTAAACGCATACAAAAGAATCTTAAATTGGCAGCCACTAATGAAACGGTCTATAGGCAAAGTCTGATACGGACTCGCTTGGAAAGGAAGTGGAGTTACTCACAAGCTTTTCAAAGGACGCAATAGAACGCTAATAGCCTAAATTTCTATTTATCTATTTATTTATTTGTTTATTTACTTTTAGCACTGTTCACCTATGCCGCGCAAACCACATATACTTCAGAAGCGTGACAACATTTTGAGCTACTACTGGGATCAAAAACTACCCCTCGGGTTTTTTGTCAACGGTCAAGGTGGTTTGATGGGACCTCCGGGACCTCCTGGACCTCCCGGGACCCCCGGTTACGTCATGGGTGGAAGTGGAAGTGGAAGTGGTGACGCCGTTGCTCGTGGAGGAATTCCTGGGCCTCGTGGTCCCCCGGGACCACCCGGACCTCCCGGACCTGGAAATGCTCTTGCTGTAAGTATAAACTACTCCAGCAGATATTGTAGAGCTAAACAGGAGAAAGTTTTCAACGAAATTAATGCTTATTCCCTTGAGTTCGGGAAAAGTCGAGAGAAGCAAATATAACAATTGTCAGAGTTGTAAGCTAAGCACTGTTCCAGCAGAAATCTATCTGTCAAATGTCTATCTGTAAACGTGTCATTGCTTTTACAATTTTCATTATTTGCCCTCACAGCCTTGAAAATGCCTCGGAATTTCTCTCTCTGTAGGGTCCTCAGGAAACCATCACGTGCGAGGGGGAGAAGGAATGGATCGAGTGCCCGCAGTACAAAGTTATCAAAATCAATTCTGCTTTCTGGGGACGTGACGATACCGCCACGTGTACCACGAATGGCGTTCAACACGGACTCAGCACCTCCGACATGTGCCCTCAAGACGAATCGAACTCTATGACCAAAGTGGAAGGACAGTGTAAAGACGAACAAGCCTGTGAGCTGGCAGCCACATCTACTTTCTTTGACAAGACCGATTGTGGACAGGTCTATAAGTATCTCCGTGTCAACTACGAGTGTCTACCTAGCGAGTCAAGAGTGAAAGCAGCTATTCAAAGATCAAGAATAGCCGGTTAATTTGATTCTCTGTGTGACTGACATAGCTTCTATCACGTGATAAGCTACGAAACGTTTTTACCGCCTAATATGGTTAGGCTGTCCGAAGCATCCGGGACTTCATCGTCAACCAGCTTACTTGGTAACCGCTTGATCGTCTGTCGGGGAAAACTTCATCTGACGGCACAAATCATGTTTCTCTACATCACGTGTTGACCTTACTCTGAACACTTACGAAGGACTGGAGAAAAAAAGTTGGCAGCGAATTAACATACCACGTCATGTTAGACGGTGAAAAACGTTTTGCTTGAGATAAAGGATAGATAAAATAGAAGGATTCGCTTTTCGTGATGAGTTTTTCAGAGAACATTGTGTAAAGCTTTGCTGTAAACTAGGAAAGCACTTCATTCCATCACATTACACATTATTTTTAATTTAATACCGAATGTGTATATAGTAATGTTTCTAAAACCTTTGGCGCATATTTTACGTGAGCCTCTTGGATTCCTTGTAAAAAATTACCAGCGGTTACACGGATGTAACTATGCGCACGATCTAACAGACATAACTGACAAGTGGACAAACTGACTAGACACATTATAACGCGCTGTTATAGATTCTGCGCATGCTCGTAGTAGTTGTGTTAATCACTGCAGTGGACCTAAATCATGCTTGTGTTGCTATTGAATATAAACTCATGAAATTTGTGACAGTAAAGCTCTATGGTCTTTTAAGATTTATTGCGTTTACACTGAGATGTGGGAACTGAACGACCCTTTAATATCATGGGTGACAAAATTGCCATGGTATCGTTTGGCGCGAAATTTCTCGATACAATAAATAAGTCAAAAGCTCACTATTGTAACCGTAACTTGCGTTTGTCACCCACGATATTAAAAGGTAATCAAATGATATACTAGTGAAATTGAGAGAGGGGAATTATTAGAATTTTGACAAAACGCGCGTTGATTTCTTTCCCAATTTTACTCGTCCTCATTTGATTACCCATACAAATGGGACTCAGGCACGGCGACCTGTTCTTCGAGCATGCTTTTTCGCCGTTCGAAAAAAAACTCAAAAGTGTCGCCTCCACACTACAAAAACATCTTTGTCTTATTGTTACAAATCTCGTTAGATACAGCCGTATATATATTTAAATTCAGGAAAAGTTGTTCAAACACTTATAGGGTAACTGTCTTAATTATTTGTGAGCGTAATCATTTGTGTTTTCGGAGCGTTTTCTCCTTCCACACTTAATTATAAACACACAAAAAAACGGTGATTTGCGGCGAGAAAACGTCGTTTATGTGATTAACTAGACACCAGTGTTTTCGAAAACCTAGCTCTGTTTTCGTTGTCCTCCCTAATACGATAGAGTTCCGTTTTCAAATTTTTTTCGTCTGGACTGCGTTTTTAATTTAATGTGTTTTCGGTAGCTTTAGTATGGACGACTGTAGTGAGCGAAAACGCGTCCGTAGTGTGGAAAGGGCCTCAATCCAGGCATAAAACTCTTTTAACCTTCTTTATTGCTTTATTGTGTAGCTACCGGCTTTTAGCCATCACAGGTACGGCTGACATCCTTCAGGGATTTGTTGCTTAATGTGATTCTTTGAGTCCTAGAATTGCTAGATGCCCATTTCTTGTGAAAAAAAAAAAAACTTCAGTTATCCAGACTATCGCATGTGAGGTTGCAATGTCAATCAGCGTAGCAGCTTATTTTTGATATTTAAATTACAAAACCTTTCCTAAAAAGTTCTGCAAATCCTGGCCCCTCATCCCTTTTGCTCAGAAGTCTCAGAGTCTGTCATAGTTTAGCACCCTAAACTAAAATAAGGCAATTGCAATATATTGTTGAAATTAGTCAAGACCAGTAAAACGATCAACTGCAAGCGTAATTGTTGATTTAGTGACAGTTCAGTATGAAGGAGATTACGTGGATTGTATATAACCGCTAACTGCAAGGAATGCTGTAACAAAGTAACCAGTCAAAATGGCGACGGTGGAAGCCGGTGAGGACGTGTTTGTTTCGTTATGGTAAACTCCAGTGTACTCACTTTTTCGTTTTTCTTAATAACTGAGAAAAACAATAGGAAGTCTGCGATGGGAATCAGAGCAGCAAAGAAGAACGCAAAGGTAAGCGAAAGGAAATCGTGTACAAATCAATCGAATCGATCGAAGTGATCAAATAGAGGCAGCAACATTCCCCAGGGAGGAATAACCCGTGTATGTATAATCCCTATATCTCATAATAAAACCGCCTGCTCGCACGTTAATATATCACGAGGATCTGCGTAGTTCATGCGAAGATCTGTAAGGGGGAATGCATCCCGGTGGACAGGAATTTGATTTCCCTGATTGTTACTATGGTTTATAGGGTAGGGAATTGGACACCATATTGGAGGAGTAGTGGTGGGGTGGAGAGGTGGGGGGGCGGGGGGTTTGAACACGTGAACACGTGACCTTGAAGGCAAAGCATTCAAAAGCAGTTCGTTGTTGGAAGGCTTCCAACAAGCAGCTCGTTGTATTGCGATTTTAATGATATACGAAAACAATACTTTGAGCAAAATGTATCCATCGGATTGCTCCATTGCCAGTCCAATATTCTCTAAGTATTGCACCGGGTACTGTCCCGAATGATCCCGCACGATCGATCACCCTTTAAGATTTTCTGTTAGTTTTATGGCTTACGTTACTGAGACAACTTGCTTTCAGATAAGAAATTAACTTTTTCTTTTTCGTACAACTGTCTGTCCCTTCCGTTGTTTTCAGCCTAGTCGGCACCCAATCAGAATTGCGCTTTGAAGTTTACAATGATTTCCAGTCCGTGATCGAGGCTTTTTTCCAAAAATTTTCAGTCGGGTGATAAATTTCTTATTAACCAAGCTTGGTCGGACTGTACTATGAGAAGGTCGGCCCTCGGTGACCGTCTTTTTTGTACTGTCGAGGCCTTGGGGCCGTCGCGGGCCTTGCATGAGCCGATTGGGCAGGGGTTGACTTAGGGTTGGCCCGGAGGGGATGCTGAAAGTTCGAATTGATGGTTCCACGAGTTCAGTAGTTTGCTCCAAGCTAGTTTGAAGTTCACGCTTTCGAAATAGGTCACTGACAAAGCAGGTGTGTTTTACAGGTTGCAAGTCGCAGGTGACAGAAAACCCTAATATCAAAATAAATCTTAACCCTATTCTTACCACAAGAACAACATTTGCCTAGATATATTTGATGAATCAGACGCCATCCAATTCCTGGATGAAATGTTATTCTCTGTGTAATAGTGCGTGATAAATTTGTGTCGCTTTCTTAACCCGCAATCTGTAAAATAAACCTCCCTGCGCCGACACCTGCTATAGATACATAGTCCTTCTTGTGCAAAGAAAGCTTTAATGTACAAACGAGCCTAAAAAGATAATGGGTTATGTTATCTAGTGTAACAGGTATCAGGACGACAAAATGTTACCTGAATGCTAGCAGTTTCTCGTGATAAGCAAACACCGAAGAGGTGATCTTCCAGTGGTAAAGCCGTGGCCAGCGGGAAGCGTGGCCTTGCTGGGAATTGAAGAGTCAGTGCCGTTTTATCGCGCTATTCTTGCTTACGCTCCACACATTTACAGAAAACTACAGATTCTTATGAATCCTTACTTAGCAATACTCTATGGCCAATACGTTCATCGACAACTGCTTTTGCCTGACAAATTCGGACGGCATTGCATAAGTGAGAACGTAACGGTTGTGGGGTCATTATTAAGAATTGCATATTAATAAAATAAAAACGTATTTCTTCTCTTGTTGATTTAACTTTCCAAGTCTTGACATTTTGTACTTCAATCGATTAGGCAAGCACTGGAATTTTTATAGCGCAAGATGCGACGTATGGGTTTTGTCTCGGCTCTTCTGTGGTCTGCCATACCCTCTTGATATTTCTTAATCAAGATCTAATCGATCTTGATTATTCATCTTGCCATGTCAGAACGTCATTTACTTGTACAAGAGGAAATCCCTCGGAAGCTATCTGGCACCCATTCCACTCATCATTCTGCAGTCATATCCAACTTTCAAAAACTTCGGCACGCCGGGACACATCGATTTCTCGAAGAACATCTCAGACACCGGAAAGGTACAAGTTGGACGCTTCTCACAAACATGGCGTAGAAACTTCAAAGTCTCGCCTGCCGGTGGACAGAGCTTCAGTGGGTTGGAGTGATTGTCAGGTAAACATGTTTTAAGATCGTCCCTTCCCCAGAACGCAGAATTGATTTTAAGTCCCTCCTCCTCTCCTGCACAAGACAACGTTAACATATTCCCCTGGCAGCCCAGTGCTGTGGCGTTCCCTAGCCGAACCCATTTGGTAAGCTTGCTTTCAAACGCAGGCAGCCCAATCACCGTGACAAGCCAAGACAAACACCACAGTATATAACTCCATTCCAACTGAGGGCGCATGCTAAAGGCGCCAGAAAATCACGAGATAAGATGGATTCAATGTAGAGCTTATACTTCCTCTAGTTTGTGTTTAATAAACCGCTATTCAGGTTATAACAGAAATACTGTATTATTAATGATTTTCTCTACACGCCAATTGACTTTGTGATCAGAGCACCTGTAGTTCTTGGCCTTGTTATTATACGCCATTTGTCCGCCTCGTGCGGTAGCCGTCTAACGAATTTAGCTTTCCTGCTTCACCATTAATTGCTGATTTACTTCGTTAGGGACATTAGCATTTTGATCTTTGCTGCTGAGATTCTTGTTTCTCTTGGTTTGTTTTGGAGGGCGTAAAAACCGAGAGATCTTACTAGAATTGCACTGTTTACTGAGAATCGTCACGAATACAAGAAACAGGAGTCGAGAATTGGAAACGCTCAGTTTCTTTACAGTGGTCTATTTTCTCTTGTTAATTCAGTTATAAACAATGCCCGCGGGAACAAAGTATAGCGACTGCTGATAGCAAATTTATCGCAAAATGTGGTCGTTTTCTTTCCGAGGGGATCTTAATTCCTTTCGTCGTATTATAAACAGCCATAACGCTGACATTCACCACAAACACCTCTGGTTGTTAAAAACTAAGAAACTGTTAAACTTATTTAACGTTACGTTTTTGGTCATTATTCTGTTAAAGAACTCCGGCACGATAGGGATTTGACTGAACTTTTACAGGGAATAGATTGAGATGACCTTCTAATCTTTTCGACTCGGTTAGTTTAGTTTTTGAGTCCCGCCTGACATATCTGCAAAACAGCATTGGTCGCTAATTGTATCGATTCTATTTGTAATAATCTGCAATTTCTTCGTGGACTTGAACGGCCCAACGTTAATGCTGTGGAACACGGCAAACAAATTCTCTCATTGTTTGAGCTATCGTCGATCCGATGAAGATGATTTTATCTCAAAACGCCCAGTTAATTACCACAAGCTCGCGTTCTGTCCCCGACGTCAGATACAAAATGTCATAGTGACCTGTGATTTAGGAACAGATTGATGACCTGATCATAAACAAACAGGTGTCATGGCCAACCTGTCAACGATAAACAGCCATCGGATTGTACTCATAAAGAAGAGAATTCTCACCAACAATCGCTTTTGCTCCAAAAAATTTTAACAAAAGGAAAAATTATCTCGTTAAATCACCCGCGATTTACTAATTTTCCCCAAAAAAGCAAAGGTGAAAGACGTTTGAGCGCATGCGTTCTCAACAAGCTTGCATACCAGGGAGATGACATAATTACGTAAGCTGGAGGATGACTTTATGAAAACAGCATTTGCACGCACCGCCGGCCTGTCATAATTTTGAAAAATTAGAAAATTCTCTCCGTCCAAGGTAACTTTTGACCAGTTTTTTTCAACGTGGTTTTATTTCAGATTTCATATGAATCTGATTTTTCGAATAAGTGGTATTTCATTCGTCTGTTTCTATGTTTGTTCGTAGCTGACGGTCAGTTTGTCTGCTCGATTTGCTGGTCACCCGAGCAGTCTACCTGTGACTTAATATTACGAGGTAAGAACGAATTTGTTCGTCCGTCAGTTTTTATGTTACTGCTGGGGTTGAAATGCTTTGTTCAGATTTGAGATTATCACTTTCATCTGTAGCCTGTCGTTATTGACCTTACGCCTCACTTAGCTTCTGGAGAAGAAACAAAATGGCGATTAACTAAGCTCGGCTGTTTCGATTCCCTGATCGAAGGGTTAATTTACTACAGCTGAATACTTAATATATAAATAAGAGTCAAGCCATTTCTTCTTTATTGACTTGTTTGTGAAAGTCAGAGAATCATTGCCAGCTATTCTCGGCCGCTAAATCAGTACAGTAAGATTTAATTTTCTGCAAGATGTTTCATGGTCGCCCTTTTTTGCATAGCAATTGAACTCAAAACGTTTTCCTACAAACTTTCTTTACAACAGTTCGTCAACAAAACTGGCAAAAGCCGAGCAGTAAGCAAACGGCAATTGTGCCGAGGAGCCCTTTCTTCCACATTTAACAGGTAGGACTGAAGAGATTTATAGACATTTGTACTGCAGAAAAGCTCTTGGCTGAAAAAAAGAAACGTCCAAGAAAATGACCTAAGTATTTTCAAGTAATCAGCATTCTCCTTGTTGCGTATGGGACACTTAACATTATTCTAAAATGACCGGAAGTTGAAAAGATGAAACCACATACTGAGATTAAACTGGCGTCTTGAACGATAGCCCTGGTTTAGAAAAAGCCGAGAAATTTTGACTTAACTCTAACGCTCAAACGTCAGCTGCCCATCTTAACTCTAATTAAAAGAGTGTTAACTGTTTTGCAGCTCAGGTCATTAGATCAACATAACCCCGTAGCTATTGCTGACATGACTTATTGTGGAACACTTGGGACAAATTTGAGGCATGAAAAAGTCTCAGGAACGCTTTTTACATAAACGTCTCTTTATTATTATTTTTATAATAGGACATTGCTTTTTGTTGTTATTTTGCATGACTGACCACCTGGTTTTCTTTGTAGTCAAAATATGACGCTGCAACTGACAGCTTTGACCACGATATTAATTGTCGCTTTCGCCGAGTGTAAGGTAAGGACAAATGACATTTATAGACCCTTTTTTCTGGTTGCTTACCTGGAAATTAGCTTGTGCGTCTTAATAGATGCACCGAGTCCTTACTGAGCGTGGGGTGCCTTTTTCACGTGAAATTTAAATGAAGTTATGGTTTTCTTTTGTGCGTGTGCGTTCTGTTTGGTTTGAGGATGCATCAAGATCTCTTGTTGACGATTCCTCTTCCTCTCGATCTGTTTGACAACACACTGTTATTGCGAGCACGGAATAAATGTCATTCACTATTGATATAGTGTATGCTATTTTTTTTGCTACATATTAAAATTTATCGCATATAACTAGAGAAAATTTGGGCACCCAGCATAGTCGTTACATCTCGGTTGAACTGATTCTTCATAACATTAAAGATTGCTCCTTCTGAGTGTCATGAAACATTAAAAGAATGGAGCTGTCTGAAATGAACTTTTATTGCTGCGTCGTGGAATTGAACCCTGTTTTATATGATCACACTTTACAGCTTAGCGATGTCCCCGACAATGTTCAGCTTCAAAAGGATTCGGACATCAATTTAATGGAAGTCTTAGAGAGCCTTGCGCCTGTCCCTAGCGAGGAAGTGGTAGCTATAAGACCCAAGGGAGAGGGAATAGAGAGATTCAGACGACGAGTGGAACCTGCTAGTGGAGTGTCATCTCTTCCAGATCTTCCAGATCTCCCAGCACCCCAAGAAAATAACTCGATCTTCAGCCAGAGACCGTTTTCTGACAGTGGAGCTGCGCCTCCCTCGGGAGAAGGTGAATGGGACAGTGGACATGCTGCGTCGTCAAAAACAAAGAAAAGCGTAATCACTGGAGAGGATGCTTCTGGTTCTGGGGAGGGATCAGGAGTTGTAGAACAGGAGAAAGCCAAACCTGTTGAAGAAGATAAACCAGTTGTGTTGAAACCCTCCAACTCTGCTACTGAGTCCACCTCAGCTAGCGAAGAGGAAGGTAGTGCTGTGACTACATCAGCTGTAGCTGCCGATACGTCGGAAAATTTTTCTGAACCACAACCGCCACCGGTCGCCATTTCACATAACGCCGAAACAAAACAAACCTCCGCTGATGTTGCTGGCACCGCGTCCTTCAACGCCGCGGAGCCTGAGGAAGCTTATTCCGCCCAGCAGTTGTCACTGACAAACAATACCGTATCGAATCAAACCAGCAATGCAAACAATGAGTCGGCTACTGTACCAGTTACCGAGGAAGAAGGTCAACAAACAAGTGCTAACGGTGATCACACACCTGAATCCAGTGGATTAGCAGAAGGAGCTCATCCTGTTACATTTGCCGATTCTAATCAGGAACATGTAGCATCAGGATCAGGGGAAACAGAGGAGTCAAGCGGGGGTGGAGTGAATGCGGATGAACTTGCCTTCATTGCTGGTCTTCAAAAGGCAAAGAAGCAACAGGGCACGGTACCGCAAACACCAAAGAGGACAAAACTCCCAGGTAGCATAGGAAACGACGAAGATGACAGCGACGATGATAGTGATGAAGTGAGTGGAGATGTCAGTGGAGAGCAATCTGATTCCAGTGCAAGTGGCAGCCAAGAAGATGAGACCGCCTCCTCTGGCTCAGATGATGTTCAGGACGTCAAGGGTCACCAGAGGTCGGATACGAGACATGCACTTTGGGAAAATGATTCACGAGAAGAGGATGACGCTTCAGCTTATTCTTCAGGCTCGGCCTCTGACGAAGATGAAGATGATGACGATGATGACGATGATGAAGATGATTCAGGAGAGTCCAGCGCTGACGAAGTAGAAAGAAGAGACACCATAGTTGATGTGGCTAGTGGATCTGGAGTAAGCTTCCTTTCGGGCGTAGGCCAATCCGAACATGATGAAGGCTCTTCAGAAAGCTCCGGGGAAGATGATGATCCAGGGGATACCTTGCCAGGCAGCATTGGCGAAGTAAATGACATTGAAAAACTCGAGCAGAAACCTGCAGAACCAGTGATTGCAACTGGCTTTGCCTTTTCGTCTGGATCCGGTGAACCTGTGGCAAACAACGTGAAGCAAGCGGATACGTCAGGTTCTGGTTTACCCGAGGTAGCTAAAGCCCAGGATTCAAAGATAAAATCAGTGCAAGATAAAATACCGTCAAAGCCTTCCACTGTATCAAAAGTGTCAGGGGAAGCCCAACTTCCGGGCAGTTTTGGTGGTATAACCGACATTGAGAAACTTGAATCAGACGACCGTGCTGATGCAGCTTCTGATGCGTCTGGTTCAGGAGAGTCTACTCCAAGCCTGGTAAACTCGGGCAGTCAATTAAGCTCAGAGGAATCTTTATTGCAACAGGTTTTGCCAAGTGCTTTGTCGGGATCTGGGGAGTCGGAAAAGCCAGAAGAAAGTCTCCCAGGAAGTATAGGGGGACAGATTAGTATGGCTGAGGTAGACGATTCCTCCAACTCGGGGTCTGGAGATGAAGCTGTGAAGATAGTCAGTCCTACGTCAGGTACGGGTTCGGGAGAAAGTCCAAAGACCCGTTCTCATGTTGCTGTTGTATCCGTCGCGCAACAGTCGCACAGTTCTGGATCAGGAAGCGACGAACAGCTCAGCGGCTCTGGAATTGCTGACGACCTTCAGTCTTTAGTGTCTTCATCAGAGGACGAGACTCTTCCAGGTAGTGTTGGAGCTGTGGGTCCTAACCTCATGACCATGGCTTCTCCGGAAAACAAACCAGGCTCTGGCATGGCAGACCAGTCAGGTTCTGGCTCGGGAGTTGGCTCTGGGCTACATGAAGAAGACAATTTGATGAAGACATTTCAGTTTGCCGATAATTCTGGATCAGGGTCAGGGCAAGTGGAAAACGATGAAGCTGCATCACCAAATACGATAGAAACAACAAAGGTCTCCGAACCAGTCACGGCCTTCACATATCAAAATAATGTCTCTCAGTCAGCCAATTCGACGATCATTTTGCAGACGAAGCCTTCAAGTGAAAAGGCAGAAGGCAGTAGTGGGGAATTTGGACTTCTCAAATCCCTTCAGCCTTCCCAAGGATCTGGTGCTGTCGAGGAGCCGTTACCAGGTGGATTTGGTAACGGAGATAGCGCCGACATCCAATCTCTGGCTGGATCTGGAGGGGAGGATGCTTCTGGCTTCACTTTTCAGTCTGGATTTGGATCCTTCCTCGATGAAGGAAGCTCTGCATCTGGATCAGGAAGCCTCGACGTGGCATCTGGCGTATCAGGTAGTAGCAGCAGCGGCAGCGGTAAAATTTCTTATGACTCAAATGAACTCGAAATGTTGGCGAAAAAGGACTATGCCCCAACAGTTTCAGCATCAGCATCAGCATCAGCATCAGCATCAGCATCAGCATCAGCAAGCGCGGAACAGGACAGTGGATCAAGTTCTGGATCGGGCTCTCAACCATTACCAGTGGCCAAGCACACTTATCTGCCAACGCCCAAGAAAGTAGGAAAAGGGATTTCGTCCACTACGTTGGCTGCATCTGCATCTGCATCAGGATTTTCTTCTTCTGGTCAGTCAGATTCTGGCGCAAGTGCACTTCCAGGCAGTGTTGGAATCGAGGAATCTTTTTCGTCCTCTGGATCGGCAATCTTCGACACTTCTGGGTCAGGATTTATCCCCAACATTGCTGATTTCCCACAGGAAGATTTACTGAACACAGAAGAGGCTTCGGGTCCTGAAGAGGTCAACGTAGTTGAGTCCGGGGCCGGGGAGGGGTCTGGTGCGCAATCTTCCGGTGACCAAGGCGTCGAGGAGACAACCGTTCGTTCTCGCACTGGTAAGGTGAAACCTATTGGTTTCAACTTAGCCTCAGGACTTCAAGCTGATATCGTACCAGCAAACTTGGGAAAGATACCTCTGAAACTGGGTGTCGGATCAGGTAGTACTTACGGCTTAGGATCTGGGGCTGGGATCGATTACGGCTCCGCCTCGGACTTCCTGTCTGGCTCGGCTGGCAGCGGTACCCTGGAGCTGACTCCGGCTACTAATCCTTCTGAAGCTATTGTGAACCTGTTCGGTAGCGCATTCAGCCCGGCTGAGAAGGAGGCAGACAGTGGGTCGAGTAGCATTGTGGAGGACGGATCAACAGTTAAACATCAAAAGCAGGGGAAGAACAGGCATCTGATACCGAGCAGTGGCAACGATGAGATTGCTCCCTATGAAGACAAGGAACAAGTTAGTTTTTGCTCCAGTTTATGAATAAAATTAACCTCGCGGCCCTTTAATTTGTCTGTGAATGAAATTATGCTATGTAATGATACCTAATCAGGGACCCATACTTGAATGATGTGCTGTCCTTTTATAAAAAAAAAAATTAGGATTTTAATTTGATTTTATACTAATGTTATGCTGTCCATTTCGATACGCCAACAGCTGTCTCTCAACAGTTACTCGGCCTTCGTTTGTTCACAATTAATATCATGGATAAATGTGATTTCAGCAAAAGGCAATTTTATGGAATAATTTCTCAATCTCTAATCACTGTCCACAAAATTTGTTTGGTTGGTCAACAGTGTTTTATCCAGAATTTAAAGAACATTATGAATTCATTTGACAGAAGGTCGAGAGAGATAAAGAGATAATTTATCTCGTTTTCCAGGTTGAATATGATCTGCCCAAGCCAGGAGATACAGTGGATCAACAGCTGTTGGACCGCTTTATGATCAGTCAGATCCTAGAACAGAATCTCACGTTATTCTATGGTGGACTTGCCGGTCGCCCGGGTAAACAAGGCTCTGTTGGTCCCCCAGGAGCACCCGGCATGCAGGGTATGTCGGGCCCCATGGGTCCCCCTGGTCCACTTGGTGAAGTAGGTGCCCCGGGTGCTGACGGGGAATCCGGTCCACTTGGTCCCCCTGGCCTTCCCGGCCCGCCTGGTTATAAAGGGGAGCAGGGACCACCGGGTCTCATGGGATTAGCCGGAGAACCAGGGGCTCCCGGAATTCCGGGGCCTTTGGGAGATATGGGACCTACTGGTCCGGAAGCTGTGATGCCGGTGAGTATTTTAACTTTTGAACTTAACATGGTTCCGATATGTGTTATTTTTCTTATTAATACAGGAAAACAAGATTCGTGTGAGAGAATTTCATCAGCAATGTTTGCAACGTCTTAAAAGCGAAATTCTCTTCTTTGTATCCTTAGAATTGCTCTTACATCTGCGAAGGAGAGAAGACTTGGCTCCAGTGTAAGCAGTATGAGACTATCAAAGTAAACCGCGCTTTTTGGGGACGAGAAGAAAACGCATTCTGTCCTGAGGCCCCAGTTGGTCTCGATGCGGACAAAGTTTGCGAGACTGATCCAGACAACACGTTTAAGAAAGTTGAAAGCCAGTGTAGGCACAACCAAGCTTGCGAAATCGTGGCTTCAAACACGTTCTTCGACGATCCAACGTGCAAGAACACGTTCAAGTATCTAAAGCTCTGCTATGAATGTATTCCGGACGAGGTACATGCAACTGATGTTTTACTCGATATGGGAAAACGTAGGAAGAGAGGAACTCGTCTCGAAGACATTCTCAGAAAGCGAAGAGAAAAATCTAGAGACAAACTGTTGAACGATCTGTGGAAACATCCATACCACGGGAATGTTGTGTAAATGGCTGTTTTCAAGATTAGGACTTTTCTTCTGAGGGATAGTTGTATATAGTTGATATCTTGGCTTACTTGGTCTTGTTATTCAATAGACGGGTCCAAGTCTAGTCCACACAAAGTAACATTATTCTGGGTTGGGGGAATGGATCAAGACTGAAGACATACACTTAGTCACGCAGAATCAATGTAATCTGTGAAACATTTTCCTATAGTTTCCTGATCCAAAAACGCCGTTGAATTCATCCACATATACACAGCTATCGCTGTTTTCAATGAAATGGCAAGAGTTTGGATTATTTTCTTGATCATTGTTTCATAATTGGTTTAGGAAGCGTATATATCGACGGCTTTTTTAAATTCGGAAAAGTAGCTGACATGCATGGTTACGATGTAAACAGGTGCATCACAACTTTTCCCCCGAAATGACGACGTTTTCGTAGAAGAAAAGAAAGAGGATTAAATTTTCTGCCTTTACACTCAAGGCGTTTCAGGTCGAACAGAGCCGTTATTAACATATAGCGGTGTTAAAAGAGTTGGCTCTTTCATATCTTTCATTTTATTCGGCCTTTAGAGGACAAGACTCGTTGAGACAAGTTGAAGAAAATTTCTTCATTGAATCTCTCGGAAATAGAGAAGTATGATCACAACTTCAAAACCTCTCGCAGAGAAGCTTAAGCAATGAGAGATTTTATTCGTAGGTAATATATAATTGCACGTTAAAAAGTTCAAATCCTTGAAATGTGAGCAAATTCCTACCCAGCTCGAGTATGTTCACCGTTTTCCTTTCTGGGAAAATACACAAAATGAATTCTTTCTGTATAATAATGTGATTATTTTATATTAAAGACCTAGCTATTAAGCTAAATCATTAGTATTGTAAATAATAGAGACGTGTCGCCCTTGCGGTAATTTGGAAAAACAGTTTCTGTCCTAGAAATATGTGGATTGTCCATAGTGTCACACTCAAACGTGTCGTGTACTTAACCTTGTAGTTCGTTGTTACAGAGGGGCATGTATGCGTCTAGGGTGTTTTTAAGAGCATTTCCTAGAATAAAAGGTTTCCAAGAAAAGTGACTTGTCAGTGTGAAATATTGCAGAATTTATTTGATTTAATTCTCTCCCGTTGATGGAATACTACACTTCGTTGTTTGGTTGAATATGGGTAGCGGAATTGTTTTGTGCAGTTTGTGTTTTGTGAGACACTCTTAGTTAAGAAGGACATTTTAGACCCCGTGCCTTGCTACAACCTTCGTATCAATGTTGACTTAATTTCGTCCCGTGATTGAATCCACACTAACATGCAACAACTTTATGGGGTCGGGTGGGTGTCAGCTGATTAAAGATTTTGGGAAAAAAAAAAGAAAAAAACCCAGCATTTTTGGGAGAGTTCTGAACTGCAATTTTCTAAGTGGTTTAGCCCAAGAGCTTGCCGATTTCAAAATTATCTGCAGAAATCAATTTAGTGGCTGTGATTGGCCGTTTCTCGTGAGCATAAAATCATAACCTGGAATTTAGCAACCAGAGACGCTGCACGTATCTTTGCACTTTTATGACATCAGATGGAATTTTTCAAAAGAGAGAGACGACGTCTGCCTTCCAGGACACCGCGAGTCCGTGGTCCATGCATGGGTGTAACTTGAATGGTTTAAATCAATCAGGAAACTGTACAATCTGGCTGATCCACTGAGGCTATCCAAAAATGATTATAATTTATCTATCCAGGCTATGTTCCACCTATTAATATCCATAATGATCCGTATTAATTTTTGACTGGGAACTTACAGTTTGAAATTCTGTGCTATTCCTCAACATCTACTCTTCCTCTCTTCAGTTCAAAAGTGGCGCCAATATCCTTGTTAAGTTTGATGTCACTAGCTTCAGTCTCCGTTCCCCTCGGCCGGTTTGCTAAATAATCCTGATTTAAAAGATTCAAAAAAAAATTTCGCGGCTTTGATCAAATGCAAAACTTTTTTGCTGCATTTTGCTCCATATAACGCAAAGATTTAATTGCGGTAAAAAAAGTGGTTATAGGCACTTAAATTATGAGTACATTTGTACACCTTTCCCTCGGCAAATTTACAAGTACAAGAGGAAATGATTTTAAAAGAAGTCCCTTTGTCCTCAGAGCCTTCGACGGGAAGCATAGGGGTGTTAAAGGACCAATAGGCTGCGCCTCGTGAGTCCACAACATTTTGACCACTGTGATGACGCGTATCGTTGTCGATAAGAGCACACACCACGCTAAACTACATTCGATTTATTAAGTAGAACATGGAATAGATCGCTCTAGGTGACTACACGATGGGATGCCCCCAGTTACGAATTTTTGTTATCCTCCTTGATCCTGTTGCTGTTAGGGGTATCTTGATTGCATAAACTATAAAAAGTTATTAAAAACTGGACATTGCATAATGCAATTCAAGAGTTTTCATTGGCTTAGCCATTACGGTATAACATGGTAAATAAGCGTACGGATACTATTGGGGGACGTTTTTATTTTTATTTTATTTTTCTATATTTAGAGGGATTTTTAATGAAACAAGTATTCCACTCACACTTGGAAGATATGAGATGATTATAGCCAACTAGGCGCTACGCGCCTCGTTGCCTATCTACCATCACATATCCAAAGCGCGCTCGTGGAATAATTATTAATTATTACGTATTCTTTCCGATCCTCCACTAAACAATAATGTCAAATCTAACTTAGCCTAGGTAAGGAGCCGTGTACCTTTCCTATGTATGCCTTAGCCCTCATTAACTAGCCTGCGTTGCAACCGGACGTGTTACAAAATCCGCTGTATTAGTAGTCCTACACCGGCGGTTTTGACTGTCCACTGACGCAGGCTATCATTAACAGACCGAAATCCAGTTTCTTGGACAGTCCCTTTCTGACAATTTCATGAAATGATTCTTCTTGTCGAGGAAAAGGTTGTTGTTATTCATCGTGGTAGATGCAATAATAAAGTGTATTATCGTTTGTCTCACGATGTAGTGAGACACACCCACGAGACCGGCCACTATCCTATCTGGAATGAGGTCAAGTTTATTGATCGAGATCCTCACTGGTACACACGTAGGGTCAAGGAAGCTATTCA